TATAAGTATGGTCTGTATGGAGCCTGTGTGTTTTTAGCCTTACTCGACCGTTCACTGGGGCGCTGTATCTCACTCATCCAGGATTGGCTCCGACAACAAAGATCTGAACAGCCTGTCTCTTAAATGGTTAGGTTGGCGCGAAAAAGTGGGTTGTGTGCGGGGAGATGGGGGTAAAATATTTACAGCTACAGCCATGAAATAATAATAATAGAAAAGAATTTATTGTATAGCGCAAATCCCCGCTCAACAGCAAGCTCTATGTGCTTCACAATCTATACTATTACCCCAGCAGACCTGAGAGCATTCTGAAACAAACTCAACTTCCTGGGAAGCATACAGTGCAAGCAGCCATTTATAGGTCTAAAACACTAACATACTGACAAGATCTTTCGAAATAGAAAGAACATAGATGTCGTTACGTAAGGAAGGTTACCAGAATGGACAAACGGCCAGGTTTTTAAATCTGACAGACAAAAACGAAAACCGAATTAATAACACCTTCGCAGAAAAACTCAGTCATTGTCCCATGTTCCGTACTTTTACTGTCTCTGTTTCCTCGTGAACAGTTTACGGCGTTGTTCGCCCCACAAGCTTTGTGTGTGTGTGATTTAGTTACTCTTTTGGCGTCTTACACCTGTACGCTTTGTCACTGCCGCTCTTTACACCACTCGACGATTTGCTCGTAAATCTGGGCTAAAAAAAGAGTAAGACCAGACATAAATATGTCAGCCGACAATTAGAGGAAACTTCATGGACGTGACAATTAAGTGACAAATGACAAGTGACGGGGCGGAACATGACGTCTGTTGGGGAGGAGGAGTGGGTGGCGAGAGTTGTCGGTCCTGGGGTATAGGTGTCACAAACGTGGTGGAATCAGGCGCTCGTCAGTTTTGGGCATGGAGTTATTGATATCATCTTAAAGGTTGTTAATTTGCCTTACTTTCCATGAAAAAATATCAATCTATCTAGAATAGAAAAGTCAAGATACTTGTGATTGAAGGAGGATCACCAGGATCGCCTGGTTTCAAAGAAAAAATTAGCGAGAAAATGGCCGCCAAAGTTTGGTGACTTCCATAGCTTAAGAGTCCTTGGTAACTGCACATTTAAATTTGTGATGTCTTTAATCAACGTTTTCCCATAAAATACACACATAAAAGTGTTTTTGAATGGACATACAAGGTGTTGAGCCAAAAAAAAAAAAATTCGAAAAAATTTCCAAAGTGGCTGGAAAAAAAAACGGTTTCTCTCATTTCTTTTTTTTTTTTAACGAGCGCCTGATTTCCCCACGTTGAAAATAGGCTCCAACAGGTATGTTTGTACTGTGGCAAGCGATTGTTTTATTCCTTTCAAACATTTGTTTTACGTCACTGTCGAGCAGCTTTGAAAAATAATTTCCTGCTCTATGTAGAACTAAATGTACTTTATTATCTTGTACATGTATCTGGGTTTTTTTCTTTAACAGTATTTTATGTCATATTATTTTATTTATGTATGCACTGTATACTTTTAAGGAAGTTGAGATTGTTTCAGAATGTTATCAGGTCTGCTGGGGGTAATAATGCTGATTGTAAACCGCATAGAGCTTACTGTTGTGCGGGAATTTGCGCTATATAAATGTCAAATATTATTTATTATTAGTTCATTGTGTTTATTATTGGAGAAAAAACAAACAAACGATTATTGGCGGAGAAAAAATACAGGCTGAAAATCTTTTTGAATCCTCCCCTTCCCCTGTTAATATTAGTTAAAAGCTGCTTTCGTGTATGACGTCACGCGACCCATATGTGTGAACCCACAGAGGGTGAAGACCCCGGGTGTTTGCTGAGGGTCAAGTAAGTTCCTTTTCTTTTTTATAAGTGTTTTACGCCGCTCGCAACTGCATAAGGTCAAATGAGCGTGCGGGACGCAATAAATATTTTCAGTTGGTAGGAAATTTTAAATTTTGGCCGGGTGGTGGTCGAAGTCTACTCTTGTCGATTTTAGACCACCAAGGGATCTTTAAAGTTCTCAACTTGCACACGGGACCTCCGAGATTTTTTGCTCATGTCCGAGAAGTCTAAGGGTAGATCTTTCCTAGCAGAAGGTCAGGGGTGTGGCTGAAAGACAGCAGTAAAAAGGAGCCAAGGAAAATCAGTAGAAAGGCTGCAGAAAGAGTTAGGATCCCAGAGGAGGGGGCAAAGGAGGTGAGTGTGTAGGGGCAGAGAGTGGAGACGAAAGCAGACGACAGAACATTGCTAGAGAACAGGAAAGGAGGTGAGAGGAGATAGTTCAGAGACGTAAAACTTCTGTCGCTATCCAGGCTCAAACCCGCGACCTATTGAATGAGAGGCGAACACCTTAACCTCTAGACCACGAGAATTTTTTTAAAATTTTTTTTTGAGGGGGGGTGGGGGCGGCACCTTTCACGCCCTTTAAAGAACACATTTCTGTTTGTATTTATCTGAAAAACGTTTAAAGGCATAATAGAATATGGAAATTTTCAGTTACAACAGGCTCTCGAGCTAAGGAAATAACGCAACTTGGGTGGCCATATTATCGCTAAATTTTCCTTTGAATCCAGGTGACCTCCACCTCCTTCCTCGACAATATCTTAACGTGTATCCAAGATAAATGGATATTGTTTCCTTCAAAAGCAAGGCAGCAAATAGACAGGCTTTAATTAAGATGATGCTAATAACTCAATTACTTCTTTACTTTTACTTTTACTTTTTCATCCTCTGTTGCCGTTAAGCGTCGAGGGGAGATGCTGTTTTCTATGTTAGGCCAGCTCCGCAGCTTTTTCAGTTGTGATATTATGTTTTTTTAGGGTTTCCTTGACACCATCGATCCACCTTTTGCGTGGTCTTCCTCTTCCTTTATAGCCTGAGTGTTTGGTGTTGTAGGCTCTCGAGGCTGGCTGGTCAGGTGACATGCGTAACAGGGGGCCAAACCATTTTATCCTCTGTCTTTCTATGTAATGCAGGCAGAACTCAGTGCCGATAACTCAATATCCCCCAATATTGACGAGCGCCTGATTCCACTGCGTCGTAACACATTTATTTGTGTAATTGATAGTAAGTCTGGACATTACAGTCGTCCGGTCATTTTTCCCCTCATCTTTTACGTCGAGCTTCCGAATTCTGTTCCTGACTTCGATTTTGTTTGGGTTTTTTTGTTTGTTTCTTTGGCTTGTAGATTTGAATCTAGTTGTTTTTCCCTAAAAGAAACGTGACACACGCTCCCGCTCCAACCTTACACACACACTCACACACACTCACACACACACACACTCACACACACACACACA